GAATCATTATACATGTAACCATCACATTATTCAAACCATCATACATGTAACCATCATACATATAAACATCATACATGTAACCATCATACATATACACATCATACATATAAACATCATACATATAACCATCATACATATAACCATCATACATATAACCATCATACATATAACCATCATACATGGATGGCGACCTCTAGGTGTCTGTGATGACAGGTAATGTTAGTAGTGTTGTAATTCTCCTCTCCTGCCAGCAGAGGGCGCATGTGCTCAGCATTTGCAGATTCGGCTCGTCTGTGTATCAGATCGCTGGAGATGGTCACATGGTGCAGAAGAAGTAAATGTGAAGCTGAAAATAACAAATCCAATCACATTTCTCTTCCTTGTCGCCATGGAATACGTTTCCCCAAAATCTGCGACCTCCTATTGCTGTGATTGATTCCCTGCCTCAGCTTTCGGCCAAGTTATGTCCATCCCCTGCAACATCTTACTTTAAGATCAATGGGGAGATAGCGGGGGGCGTGTCCTCTATACCCCCCATTTTTAGGATCATTGGGAGTTAGCAGGAGGAGTGTGCTCTATACCCCCCATTTTTAGGATCATTGGGAGTTAGCAGGAGGCGTGTCCTCCATACCCCCCCCATTTTTAGGATCAATGGGAGTTAGCAGGAGGCGTGTCCTCTGTGCCCACCTTACTTTAAGATCACTGCGAGGTAGCAGGAGGAGGCGTGTCCTCTGCGCCCACCCACCACCACTGACACATGGATCTCAGGAGGGAACCGTATCCTGGCTCAGGTGCAGGAAGGGTTAACACATGGGTCGGGTATCTTCTGCAGGCAGAAATGTGCACAAACAAATCAGACGCTGGGCGGGTGGAGGTCAGAGCGCGCTCACCTTCACACACCTGTTTGCATTAAAGGAACATGGAGCAGCCATTGCCGAGCTCTCCCTCAGAAGTCATGTCTTCTGCCTTGAGGAAGGGACCCTGCGTGGCCCCGAAACGTCGGTTTCTTTGATTTCTATGACGCCTCTGTCCAATAAAAGGACATACTTACTTTTGATTCCTGAGTGCTGGTGATTTTCTGCCTTTTTCCTGTGTCTGCACGGCGCCATCCGTGAACTAATGTCACTGCGAGCACCATCATCCCCTAATTGGCCGGGACTGCTGTGAGCTGTGCGGAGGGCTCTCCCCAACGATCTACAATTGTGGCGTTTCCCATAGACACACTCCTAAACCTTGTGGACACCTTCCCAGAAGAGTGGAAGCTGTTATAGCGGCAAAGGGCGGAGCCAACCCAATACCGAACCCTACAGACTAAGACTGGGATGCCAATAAAGCTCATGTGCGTGTAAAGGCGTCCCAATACTTCCTGTAATATAGTGTGTATGTCTAAGGCCCCACTCACACTGAGCGATTCGCAAATCGCACGTTTGTCGCGCGATTTGCATTTTGCGTTTGTCGCGCGATATCGCGCAAATGCTTGCATTGAGCAAGCTAGAATCGCGGCAAAATCCGCTCCAAAAAGGGTCCTGCTGTAGCGACGCACGACCCGCGATATCGCGCGGTAAATAGCCGCGATATATCGCGGGAATTACCGTGCGATAAATCGCTCAGCGTGAATGGGGCCTAATAGAGAGATAAGATGGAGGTTTGTATTGTAGATTCCGATAGAAATGAGAACCCTAAAGAGGAAAAAATATATATATATTTTTTAGTTTAAACGTCGACCTTTTAGAACTCAGTGTACACACCCCGGAGTCACATTCTGCAGAAATGCGTTTCCTGCACAATGGAGCGACGCCTCTGGCGGGTCTCAGAGTAACCCTTTCCTCACCTGTCACCTCTGTACAACTCCCATGTTGTAGACACCCAACTACAACCACAAGGAATTGCTGAGCAATCAAAAGACAAGACAATAGGAGAGGAGAAGGATGTAGCCTTCACCTACCGAGTCCCCCCGGGCCTTTCCCACCAAGTGCCAGAGACTTTGATCTTCACTCCACACGTGCCTTCCGGTGCAGGGGGAAGGCAACCTCAGCGCTCCAGATGTGAAACTACAAGTCCCACAAGGCATTGCAAGACAGGAGCCACGACTCAAAGGCATTGGGATTTGTAGTTGTAGAACAGGGGTAGCAAACCTCCAGCTGTGGGTGAAACTACAAATCCCATGATGCATCTCTCTTCGGGAGTCATGTCTGTGGCTGTGAGAATCTTGCAATGCATCATGGGATTTGCAGTTCCACCACAGCTGGAGGGCCGGAGGTTTGCTACCCGTTGTAGAACATCCGAGTGCCGAGGTTGCCCACCCCTGTTCTAGTATTCCACAACATACGTACTTTTAGGACAGAAGGCTTCACTATGTTGGCATGTATGGACTAAATCTATTTTTACTTTTATTGTTCGAGCAAAATCTTCATATAGTATTCTCAATGCAACAATTGTAATTAGCCCCTCCCCCATCTATAATTACTGCAAAACATCAAGTCTGCTGATTACAAAGGATAACAATGGTAGTTGGTGAGCTTTGGGCCTCATGCACACTGCCGTACAATACGCCGCGTATACGCGCAGACTGTCCCATATGCAAATAAATGGCTCCATACACATAGCTGCATATGGAGCCGTATATTGGCGCTGCGTGAAGACGCGCAAAAACAGAATGGACCCGAGCCGAGTCCGGGCAGCGTATTTTACGCACATACAGGTCGACATTTCTATTGCGGATGATGCATTCTGGGATTGCATATAGTGCACTTGTATACATACACGCATATACAAGTTTGCTCTTGCGTTGTGTGTGCGCACATGAGGCCTAAGGCTAGGTTCACACCCAGGCGTATCGAATATGCGCGTTTGTCGCACGTTTTTAACCGCGATTCGCAGTAAAAAAAACGTTTCCGAGGGCTACCTGGCTGTATCCCAATGGATACGCGTGACAAAAACGCCCCCAAAGAAGCTCCTGTACTTCTTTGGGCGTAGGCCGTTGTAGCGCGTTCATACGGCCTGTAATACGCCCAGGTGTGAACCATACCCATAGGAAATAATGGGATTTCGGCGTTTGAGCGTTTTGCAGAGCGTTCGAACGCGCTACCAAACGCCCAGGTGTGAACCAGGCCTTATTCCCTATTGATGCTGCATTGCAACACACAGGGCAAGATGTTTGTGCAAGTTATCGGCGCCGCATGATGATTACGTTGGGTTGATGAAAGTACAAGTTGGCCCAATGGCGATTTATAAATTCGCTATTTAGAAAAAATTAAAGTCAATGCTTATGTGGCGTAACATCTCCATTTCCAGAACACAATGGAAGCTTCCTACCCATTGACATTAGTACAATGGCTGCTCCTATAGTTAGGATGGGGGTGGGTAACCTCAGCACTCCACCTATGTGAAAACCACAAGTCCCCCATTACGCCTGTGGGAGTCACATGTGGAGGTCAGTCTTTGAAAGCATCGTGGGGCTTTATATCAACAGCTGGAGTGCCGCGGTTGCCTATACCTGTTCTAGGATATAAAATCAGAGCCAGTCACCACATTTGTTACATCAGATTCTATACCAAGTGTGCTTCCCGGGTAGTGCAGCACAGCACCGCAGAAAGCCCATCAGTGACAACACTCAGAAGGCTGTGACCAGTGGCGGAACTATCAGGGTCGCAGATGCGACCGAGCCCTGGAGTTCCGCCACTTGGAGGCCCAGGACAGGAGGAAGGGGCCCCTGGTAACCGCTGATTACCAGGATATTTATTATCCCGCTAACGTCAGTCCTGTGACCTGTGGGGGAGATGAGGGGAAGCGGAGGACATGGAAGAGGAGAGTGTGGGGTCCGGGAGGGGGTCCGGGAGGGGAAAGCTGGAGATAATGGGGACATTAAAGGTTTTTTTTTTTTTCTTTGTCTAAAAAAATAAGTTTCTTCTTGGGGGGGGGCCCCCTTCAAGGATTCTTGCATTGGGGGCCCTGAGGTCACTAGTTACACCTCTGGCTGTGACACTGCACGCAAAGCAACATGGAGCGGTGGTATGGTGCCTTCTTGTGCAGCGTCATGTAAATTTCTCCCCGTTTAAGATTCTCACTCATCCACGGTCTGGTATCGATCCTCGACTCCGCCCACTATTGCCGCATCACGCCACTCCTCTGAAACCAGAGCGGCGCTCGGCTCCGCCCACTATTACCACATCACTCAGAATCTTCTCCCCGGCTGTCAGCATAAAACAGCGTGGAGGGGGGAATGGTCGGCGTCTCGGTATTGTAACTGCCACGCTGGCCATTCTTGCAGCGGCCGTAGCAGACACGACCTGGAAACTACCAGAACCCTTACCCTGGTCTGGAGCCGTGCACCCTGCCTAGCAAAAAGCCTCTCTGGAATCATTGCGAGAGCAACCTCAAGAGCCTGCATCTGATCTCATTCAGCTGTTACTTTCTCCTGACGAATCTTTTAAACTCTCATTTCCTCTAAAAGGAATCCTCGGCAAATACTCCAGACTTGTCAGCACTGCCAAACCGCACGTATACCTGCAATATGGATTCCTCACGAACTTTATATTGCCAAAACCGACCAAAAATTATCACGGCATAGTCGGCATTGGTGTATTACCTGTGTGACTTATACAGTTGCCATAAGATGTTTCTACCTGGTTGTTTCTGTCTATTCATTGGCGTGAGGAGTTTTTGTGCATGATATTCCACCCACTGTGTATGAACTATCCGCAGCCGAGTTCCATAGAAGCCAAACCTTACACCCGGCACGTCAGCTTGCATCTTCAGCCAATCGGCTCGCATGTATAAACCCGCACGTCACTATGCAAACTCCATCCGGTTGTTACGGGCGAGCCAATTGGCTGAAGGTGCAGTCATTCATCTGGTCGCACTCAGCTCACACGCTGCATGCGAAGCTCTGTGCCCGACAGATTTGCACGGCTTCGCATGCAGTGTGTCACGGGCTTTAAACGGCATGAACCCCCAGGAGCAAAGATACGTTTAGTAGAGAGCCATTAACAAGACATTGATGCCAGTTTTAAGGATTTATTGGAACAAAAGTGCTGTGGTGGCACTCAAAAGGCCAGAAACATGACAAGATGGCGGAGAGAGGCAAGTGCTGGATATTAATATTTTTGAGCAGTAACGGATAACCGGGTGACCGCCAAAAGGGTGCTTCAGTCCTCATACACCCAACTCTGGGCACAGCTGTTGTATTCAACCAGTTCCTCATCTTTGAACCACAAGGCAATTTCTTTCTTGGCACTTTCCACGGAGTCACTGCCGTGACAAATGTTCCTGTAGGACAGAAGGACAAAATCAGTTGATACGGAGCAATGCAGTCCAAAGCCACATCAGAGAAGGTAACAGAACAGAATCAAGGAATGCAATCTTATGGCCAGGGCCGAGGGGGTAATGGAGGCCATCTCTTGCCGTCCTTTAGAACATCCCGAGATCTTAAAGGCCCCTGCCCCAATGGAGAGCCACAGTGAACCTTGGCTGGGATCATCAAGGCTCCTGCCCCAGTGGAGAGCCACAGTGAACCTTGGCTGGGATCATCAAGGCTCCTGCCCCAGTGGAGAGCCACAGTGAACCTTGGCTGGGATCATCAAGGCTCCTGCCCCAGTGGAGAGCCACAGTGAACCTTGGCTGGGGTCATCAAGGCTCCTGCCCCAGTATAGACCAACATTGAACCTTGGCTGGGATCATCAAGGCTCCTGCCCCAGTATAGACCAACATTGAACCTTGGCTGGGATCATCAAGGCTCCTGCCCCAGTTGAGATCCACACTGTGAACCTTCAATGGGACAGGATCCATGATTATCCCTGCCAAGGTTCAATGTGGTTCTCTACTGGGGCAGGAGCCTTGATGATCCCAGCCGAGAGCCACAGTGAACCTTGGCTGAGACCATAAAGGATTTTCTGCCCCAGTGGACATCCAGTGAGCCTGGCGCTTCCTCTGCCCATTCAAAACATTTCAGCATGAGCGCCACTGTAGATCTTGCTGAAACATATTTGTTCATGCCCATTACACTCCTGTTTACCTCTGGGTGAGATCTGCAGTTTTGTGTACAGTGACCCTTCAAGCTGAACTCCTTTTAGGATTCCATCATAGACAGAGCAGCAAATTTCTAGACTGCGTACACCACTCAGTACATAAGGTGCAGAGTTTCATGTTTGTTCCTGTCACTAATGTACTTCTCTGTCCTCCTTGCTGGAGAAGAAGCTGCACCTGAGGAACTGCAGTGCAAGGATCTCCTCGCTTTATTCGGAGGATCTGCACTTCACACCTCTCCTGCTGCTTCTTAAATATTCCCTCAGTCACTGGGAAGAAGCTGGATGAGAAAGCAAAGCCCTGAGGAAGCAAAGCCCTGCCTTACCAAGATGGCCAGCTCCACTATCAGTAATGAGGGAAAAGGTCAGCTTGCAGGGAGACCAGAGGCAATACTGGCAACTAATTTGTCCTCCATCTGCTTTTATGGGCACAGCTTACATAGTACAGGTCCTCCTAGACAAGGATGCTTGCCAGGAGCCATTTTGAAAATCTGACCTTTTGCAAGTTATATTGATTTAACAGTTTGTAGCCAAAGCAAGGCACTGAAGTCAACTATGTTATACCTCATTATTAGCCCATCACCTGGCTGGTAAAGATATACAACAGAATCTGTCTGATGATCCGTGTTGTGTATATAGCTCAGTCTGTGCAGGAATTCAGAGGTTACACAGGACCAGCGCAGCACAACAATGCTATCCAAGCCAAATATTCCTGTGGCAGAGAACCAGAAGGGCGCATTGACAGCTGGATTGGCTGCAAAGTTACACTGGGTTTGTGAATGTTAATCTGCTGCAGCACTCTATAAGTAGATTAAAAAGGTCAGAAATATGGCTTCCTGTGACGGGGCAAAGATTCAGAGTGCAGCTGCCAATCGGCTTTAGGCAGTCATTCAGGACAAACAAATCCATGGAACGCCACATCTACCAGCTGATCCCCCAACTGCATGCTGAAGCCTCTAAGTAACCCTGAGCCATGTATGCAGGCAGAGGATCCAGCGAAATCCCTCAAGGATACATGATCAGGGGGTACATAGTGAGACCCTAGAGCAGGGTGTAGCAAACATACGGCCCGCCAGCTGTGGTGGAACTACAAATCCCATGAGGCATTGCAAGATTCTCAGCCACAGACATGACTCCCGAAAAGAGATACATCATGGGATTTGTAGTTCACCACAGCTGGAGGGACGGAGGTTTGCTAGAGGATTGTAGAAGCCTTACATAAAAGCCTCCACACCACTTCAGGTGAAAGTGCTAGAACAGTTTTAATGAAAGTACTGGGCAGGAAAGTAGTGTTTGCAATCTGCAGGCTGACACTGGGAATTGATAAAAGAAAACCAGTTTAATGTTACTCTTCCCAGCAGCACACGCTACTCCGCAAAGCCAAGCCCAGAACCTCAGGGATGCAGGGACAACTCGCTCCCCCCGATTCATGGGCACTGTGATGTTGGAAGGGGGGTTGTGTGGAGTCATCAACCCTTTATAAGCACCAACAAAAGCAGCTCAAAGTGCTTCCTTCCATTGAAGTCTGTAGGGAGGGGTGGGGAGGGGAGAAAAGCAAGCTGTTGTGGGGTGGGGGGGGAGGGGGGTAGCGGGTGGTAACACTGCACTGGAAAGGAAGCATTTAAATAAAACCAAGACCGGGTACACATCTGATACCTACCTTCCAACCTGTATGCAGAAGTCTCCCCTGATGGTTCCGGGTTTGGAGTCAGCTGGGTTGGTCTCTCCAAGCATGACACGGCCAGTCTTCACCACATTCAGACCCTGCCAGACCTGTGAGGAAGGCAAACATGAAAGCCAGGGTCAAAAAACAGACAATTATGGCCAGCATTGGCACTGCTAGAGACTCACCATGAAGGCAGGCCAGCACCCCATGCAATATTAACTACAATCATTGATGTCTGTTTCAAGGGCACATAGGTCCTCTCATGCCCCGGCAAAGGACCTGCATACCCCCTGAATGTGGCCTGAGGGGGTTTGCCTTAAAGCAATCTTAAATGAGCGTTGGACTTTCTTCATGCAGAAGATTCATTGCACTATTCCAGCTTGTTTCATGAACTCCTCTGCACAATAAGTAGAACTAAAGCAACACGCCCGACCACTTCAGCATCTCTCGTCCCAAAAAAAACTATGGGATTGAAAAACTATAGCAGTTGGCTTGCCAGGCCTGTAGGACCAGGAGGTCCAATCCCCCCAATAAAAGTCTACACCTGCATTAGTAACTATATAGAATGATTGGCTGCCACTGGCACCACCAAGACCTTTGGGCACAAACACCCGAGGGTTCTTATTCTGTACTTGTAACATCCAAATGTTAAATTCAAGACTCAATTCTCACTTTTCTTGTATATTAATCCTGAAAAATCCAGTCTGGTATTGAACATAGCGCATACTGGGACTTGCTGGTACAGATCCCCAGGGGGAAGATGCCTTTCATAAGGAGATGTTACACTCCAACAGGAGACATTACCAAATGGAAAAGGGGATGCAAATTCCAGTAACTGCCAGGCGGCTTTCATTGCACGTTGTAAGCAGTTTCACTTCCTGTTGTCTGAAGGCCGTGACACACTGCAGGCGAAGCAGCGCGGAGCGGTGGCGCGCTGCCTTTGCGAGCAGTGTGTCATGTCATTTTCTCCTGGGCACCTCAGCTGGCGAGAGCTCGCGGAGCTGAGCGTGCCGAGATCAACAATTCCAACTTCAGCCAATCGGCTCGCGCGAATAAACCAGCGCGTCGGTATGCGACAGCTGGCTGGTTGTTACGGCCGAGCCGATTGGCTGAAGGTGCAGTCAATCATCTGACTGCAGTCAGCTCACACACTGCACGCAAAGCTCCGTGCCGGATAGCTTTGCTTTGCACGGCTTGAGACAGTAATGAAGGCAATCTTCCTAGCAGGGAAACCTTAGAGAACTATGAGGTGAGGGATTTTCCCTCACCTCATAGTTCTAGCTGACCTGTGACAATGAAACTGTCACAGGTCAGCTCAGCAGATCGGGAAGTGAGCGAACACATACCGGCGCTTGCTCACTTCTCAATCCTGTCCCTGCAGAGAGCCGTGACAGGGGAGGGACTGGATTCCCCCCTCCTTCAGCGCTGACTGGTGGAACGGACGGGGGAGGATACAGCTGGCTCTGCCTCTAGATAGGCAGAGTCAGCTGTCACTCACGCAGCTGGGTGGATCCAGACAGTAATGTCGGGATCCGCTTCAGCATCTGAGTATACCGCGAGCTGTAGCTCCCTATATACTGAGCTTAGGGTGACGGGAGGACGCTAGTTTGTGTCCTCCCGTTACCCTAAAGAGAACTATGGGGAAAAGCCCCGACCCCCATAGTTCTCCTTTAAGGTTCTTTACCTTCCCTATTGTCCAAAGCCAAGCTGTTTGGCTGGAGTCAGGCTTCCAGTGCTTTAGGCAGACTTTACAGTACAGTCAAGGTCTGCACAAATCCCTCAGGCCCCCTAACTCTTTACAAATCACCTACTCTTGGCGCAAACAAATGTACCTGGAAAGAAATGAGACCCCACCACCACCCCCTTCTGCATCATTCAAGAAGATCCTTGGAGATTACAGAGCAGGCAGTCTTATGAGAAACTACTCTGCTGCAAGAGGCCTTTTCATGAGACTTCAGCTGCTCTGTAGAGTGGCGGCACCATGGAGGGTGTCACCTGAAGCAGCTGTGGTACGTGCATTATGATGTCTGGTGTGATGGACCCTGGCAAAGAGGGGCTATTGACCCAGCAGGATCAGGTATGCCGCAGGGTCCCCGCTCATGCCATGACCAAGTGCCCAACTTAAGGGGGGGTGACACCAAAATGCTGGTCATTCATTTTTGTGTCAACCCCTCTGATGGTGTCACCCAGTGCCAGCTGCACCTTGTGACACCGCTGACTGTGCTGCCTGGGATCTAGCCTAGGGGTAGGCAACCTTGGCACTCAACTGTTAGGGAACCACAAGGCCCAGAGGCACTGCAAGACTGACAGCCATGACCCCTGGAGGCATGAATGAATCTGCAATATCACTACAGTTGGAGCGCTGAGGTTGCCTACCCCTGAGGCCTAGTCTTGCCTAGGCGTTGCAGGCAGAAGGCAGGGTAGGACAAGTATTTTAGTTTATTTAACACCCACTACCTGGAGGCGATTTGTTAGGGGGCTGGGCAGTGTACATGGATTGCATTTTACTGCAAGGCCGACTTTAAATACATATTGCTTGGCCTTACATCTTCCTGAAAGCGTCACAGGACCCCATTCCTTATCCCTAGCAATCTAAACCAGTGCTGTACAGCCTGAAGTTATGGTCATGTTTGACATTGGACAGAATCTGCTTAGAAACAACCTGAGACTATTGTGTTTATGGAAGTCACCCTGACCTTTAATATATTGCAATGGTGTGGCAATGACCAAGACGTGCCTGTGGTGGTATTCTCCCATACCCCTTCTGCAATCCCCACCATCACACCAGCAGACAAAATCAGCTTGTCCCCACAATAAAGACTCACCATGGCGACAACGGGGCCAGAGTTCATGTACTCCACCAGTCCATTATAGAAGGGACGCTCCTTTAGGTCAATGTAGTGCTGCTTAAGGTGCTCTTTGGAGGCCTAAAATAAAAGAAAAAGAAATCAGGTCATTAATGCTCAATGCCCCATCGCAGTCTATTGCAGAAAGGGTTGGGGGTCCTTTCAGTGAGACTCTGGGGTCCTCATTTGCCAGATCAGACTAATACAGGTAGCACATATGTAAAGGTCTCAGCGGTAAAGTAGTCCCCGTTCAATGTTGTACTGATAAAAGGGAGATCCTTTTACTGCAAATCTTACATTCTAGAAGAAGCTAGAGCATTAAACTTCAATGTGGTGGAACGGTGTCACAGAAAGCTGCATCTACAGTTCACCTTCCTCCATTAAGCTTCAGACCATTGATAGGAAAGCTCTGGCCCACCAGCCGTTGTGGAACTACAAGTCCCTTGAGGCATGGCAAAACTGAAGGCCGAAGGCATGACTCCCAGAGGCAGACGCACGATGGGATATGTACTTCATCACAGCTGGAGGGCCATAGCTTGCCTACCCCTGCTTTAGACAACTAGGTCTGTAACGGGGGCCCAAATGCTGTGGTGACACTGCAGCGTTTCCTGCTCCGCCTTAGCACTAGTGCAGGCAAAGAGCAGAAGGTTTTATAAAGCAGCAGGCACTGGTATTCCATATCAGATTCCCTACAATCAAATCCCTCAATGTCCTAAGCCACCCCTACATACCTAGTATGTCTGGGTATGGGGGGGGGGGCATGTGATAATCTCCACTTCCCAGGGTGCAGTGCCTGGGGGCACATCCATCTCCCCTTCCTGGGGTGCAGCACCTGGGCTTCTGCAGCCAATCACCAGACTCAGGGGAAGGTAGTCCTCAAACCTCTCCCAAGTTCCGACAAAGCAGCAGGGGAGAACGTCACTGCCAAAACATTTTGATAGAACA